AATGTCTTTTTTGGTCAAAAGGGTTTTAAGGTTTTGGATGATTATCTAATAATTAAAGGTTACCTAGTTAGTTACTTCAATTGTAACTACTGGTTATGACTATAAGGTTCGTTCAATGGTATGCCTTAAATCTTCACGATAATTAACCAATCTTTTCTTGTAATGTTTTAGAAAGTAAATCAGTTTTTTTTTTGCTTTCGATTCTCAATCCCTAAATAGAAAACGTTTTAGCTTTACTTGTCCTTTAAGAAAACTTTTCATCAACAAAGTAATAAAGCTATGTAAGGAATTGGATTCAAGAACTATCGAACCAAAACATTTAATTTTCCCATTGTTTTTTAAAAAAAACTTACACATTTCTCCGTTCGAAAAGAGAGTTATATTTTTTTTAAGGACTTGTAATTTGGTTTAAAAAACAAGATTTGAAGAACCGAATTTGGTATGAGCTTTGGATTAGGTTAGGATTGGTTTATTTCGGTTTGGTTTAAAATAAAATTCTCGTTCAAGCTTTTTGGCTTTTTATTTGAAAGAGAAAAGTCAAAAACAAAAAAATCTCGCAAAAGCAAATTGAAGCCAAACCGGTGGTTCCGGTCACGATGTCGTCGTCGCCGCCGCAGAAACGTATCGGCTTGCCATGGCCGGAGCTCAACGATGGTTTGGTATATAAAGATGTCGTCTCATCTTCTGAGTCAGGTCTTTCCACTACTATTGCTTCGTGATTCAAAAAGTTTGATCTTTAATGTTTTTCGTTTTTGTTTTGATTTTTGTGGAATTTCTATGCAGAGTTAACGACTTTGTCTGATTTCTACTCAACCAAATACAAGAGCTCAGCTCCATTGCTAGGGTTCTACTCTTCTTCCTCTACGCTTCTCTAAAGTTTCGTCCTTTACATCTTTTCATTCTTAAATTTCTGTTCTTTTGTAGGTGGATTCAACGAATACAAAACGGACAGGTTACTCTTTATACCAAAACTTCACGGAGTTCGGGTTTGATTCTGGAGAATTTGTAATTTCATTTCTCGTTTTGCAGATACAAATTGATGGGGAAGTTGTAAAAGATCCCAACACACTTCTTAGGTTCAGCTAACAATTGTTTTTCTTTTCTTACTAAAGTGTGATTTTGGCACTGCAAAATTCTTTAGCTTTTGTTTTGTTATATACTTTCTCAGGAGTGGTTCCAAGTTAGTTTACCATAGGCTTCCTTGGAAGGAACCTGACACGCCGTATTCGCTAGACATTTTGTATGAAGACGATGATTTGGTAAATTCCTGCTCTGAACAAAAACATAAAAAAATCTCTTCTACTTGTTTAAAGTTTGTTTCCTTTGCTTGTTTGCTGCTATATACAAGTACTAATGGCCAATGCAACTTCCTGTTTGGTTTGTTTTAGGTGTGCATTTAATATTCTGTTCCTAACTGACTTAATTTGTATGTCTCAAATCAAATTTAGTATTGTGAGATCATTTTGTTCTCTTAAGTTTGTTCTAAACTTGTAGTGATGTGTGTATATTTGGTGGATTTTATATATCTTAATGGTTAATGCAGATCGCTTTAAACAAGCCTTCTGGACTTCAAGTATTGCCAGGAGGGCTTTTCCAGCAACGGACTTTGTTGACGCAACTGCAGTGGTGTTTTGGTAAACAAAATTCTTCCACCGGATCCCCTGAATCACACCCTGTCCCTGTACATCGACTGGGTAGAGGAACATCAGGTTAGTCTATAGTCTTTTTTCCTTTTCTTTTCCTTTGACCAACTAAGATTGAAGTATTTTCCATGCTTTTATAAATGTTGCACTCTTCAATGGACTCATGAGTTAAGATCGCAAAAGCATCTTTACAATGAAATCTATATATTTGGAAAGTTGTTTAAGATATGTTCTTTTCAATTTGTTTTAATGGATGGACTCTTTTCGCAGGTATACTTCTCTGTGCGAAGACAAAGCTTGCAAAAACTAAACTTGCAGCTTATTTTGCTGAGGGAACATCTCTTGTTGGGTCCGGGTGAGTTCAAACATGATTGTTGGCGTATTTCTTATACTCTACTCATTCTTGAAAAGATCCTTTGTCTCATCTATAGGGTTTTTAGTTAGTTATTCAGGAAATATTTGATTCTTGAAAAGATCCTTGGTCTCATCTATGGTGATCCCTAGTAATAATACTCGCTAAGCATGTAATAGTTTACTATTTTAATCGAACATCTTGGACCTAAAGTTTGACATAATAGGAACTTGGGAATGTTTCAAAACATAACTTAGTCAGGAGAAAAGAAAACAGAACTATTCTAATAACACTGCACAGAACGGGGGTGTTGCATTTGCACCTTTGTGTTTTTAGACTTCAGCTAGTAACACAATGGAGAGTAACATACATCTCGATTGAGAATTTAGGTTCATTAGAGTTGAAGCCCTCTTGCTGCTGATTTTGCAAAGACTACAAATCAATGGATCTTAGACCTTTCCTATAGCAATCACCACCCTGTCTATGCTGGTGATAAGCATATAAGTGCTATGGATAAGAAGGAGAAGGGGGAAGTAGTTAAAAGAAGACTCTCTTATAAATTGAGGGTTTTAACCATTGTAGTTCTCATACTGATACTTCGGCCTTTCATGCTTAGGCTTGTACTTGTTTAATTAGTCAAGAAAGATATGTTTTTCTACTTCAAGAACGTATCAGCTGGCCAGAAGAGCTACATGTTAAGTGTTATTTGTATGTCTGCTCACTACGTTCGTAGGAAGTAATTTCTTCATTGTTACAGTAACCTGGATCAAGAATGTGGAACCGGAAGAAAAATATCAAAGATATATCGAGCACTAGCTGACGGTATAGTTGAAGAAGATGAGGCAATGCCACTTTATTATTTGTGTTGTGAATTAATTTTCAAATCCTTTGTATTTATGCGTATATATGTGATTGAGATACTGTCTCTTGACAATGCTTCTTGTTTATTTACATTTTGAAGGTAGTTATCAGACAGCCTATTGGAGTGATTCAGTATCCTGGGGTCGCAAAAGGATTATACGTTGCATCTCCGGAAGGTCAGTTCTAGTATCTTATGCCATTAGCTACGGCGACAGAATATTCCACACTAAAACTAGTTTGTTATTATTTTAGTGTTTGTTTTGTCTTTGTGTTTGTTCTGCGTTTCGCTCTTTTCAGGCAAACCTACTCTCAGTAAACTATATGTTCTGGAGAGAGACAGACAAAGAAATTGCACGCTGGTTAAGGTTTTTCTTCTCTTTCATCTTATTTTCAGTGCCACTATTTGTATAAATGCCATTAGCTTTCGCACTTGCATATCTCACAAGGATAATGCAGAAAGCGAATGAGATAGTAAGACCGAAACGAAGTTCTTGAAATTCGTCTTGTATTATGCAAAATAGGTGGAGATACAATCTGGAAGACCACACCAAATCCGGATTCATCTTGCATACATCGGACATCCCTTGGTAGGTAAAAACTCCTGTTTCCTTCTGGTCTGTCACACATTTAGAGCTGGTATTCTGAGCGATTTGTGCATTGTAGTCCTGCATTATCTTAAAACAAGAAAACTTGAATACTTATCTCTGAAAAACAAGATTTGTATAGACTTTGTTGCAGCCTTAGTTATCTAATCAACTAGGCAATCATGGAACAACCAAATTGCTAGCTGGTTATAGAAAAACTTCAGTAAAACATTGAAGATAACAGGATGGAATCATGCTTTAGTTCCCACGTGATGCTTCAGGTAGTTATAATTGTATGAGCCGTATACGTATAGTACTAGCAGTCAAGGACATGAATTGCTTATTGCATAGATTGGGAAGATTTTGCTACACGAGTTTTATTTTGGCAGTAGTCTATGGAAGTGGTGTAGTTCGCAGGATCTCAGTGCAAGTCAGCAAACAGGAAACCAATAGCTTACATAGTTGCGTGTTGTCCAAAGTGCAGGGGACCCTCTTTACATTGCAGGCGGACAACCAAAGTGCCTCGATCCAGATTTTGTAGATGCTAGTCCTCTTGCCAAAGATGGGTACATACTTGGATCACATTTTCGTACTTGCATTTTCCAATCCGCAAATGAAACAATATTCTAGTTAACCAATGTAGAACCAATTTATTTCTTGTGGAGTGTAGATTCTGATTGGCGTATAGACTAGTGTTATAGCATGTGTCATGATTATATCGAATTGATGAATGCACTGCAGCTGAAAATTTTGATTCAGGGGTTACCAAAGGCCAAGTCAGGCTGTTCCTGGGGATTGTGGATATCATCTGCATGCTCATCAAGTAGAGCTACCAAACCTGTTGGACACTCGTAAGGTAACTGAATCTGAATGTGTTTGGAAAAGGTCCTTCACCAGATCGCTTGTAGTCCTTTTACCTAGATCAGTTGATATTCTGTCATTACGGCTCTACAGGTTGTTAAAATCGTGGCTCCACTACCACCAATTCTCCACACAAGTTCCGAAGCAGAAGAAAAAAAGTTATTCCTCCTGCAAGTGAAGTTGAATTAAGCAGTATGCTTGTTCATAAAGTGTTATCTTCCTTGAAAAACATACAGAGAGCTAAGCTTAGCTCTCTTTGTTATTATCAGCAACATTACAAATACAAACATCATCTATGAATTTTCTGCAGGCACCTAACTTAAGCTGAACCCAAAAAAAAAAAAAATGCCTATATCAACTGACATTCTAAATTAAAAGAAAGTAGGTTAAAGATATATAATACATATAGGATGACAAACAATGAATATGTCAATCCTCCAAAACAAAACTAATGAAGAACCCTAACAAGCTTTTGATAACGTGGCTGCCTCTGCTACACTGTCTATTCCCCCTATGTTACCTTCATCCTTACCGCTTGAGGCCTCTGCTTTATCATCGATGTGCTTCCCAAAGCTCAGAATCCCACCATTAACATCCAGTAGAATCTCTTTGCTATTACCAACTTGCTGCTTAAGATGCATGGAAAATGCTTCGGGGCAACTTGCAAGCAACTTGGCCGACTCCGGCAAAGATGTGAGCCCGGTTTGAATTCTGTTGCCATCCCAGAAACCGTAGCTCGTTATAGGAACATTCTGAAGGTGTTGCTGATTAATGTACTGATGTCTTGTATCATCATGGTCCCTGCTCAAGGTTGATGATGACCTGACGATATTTCCACCTGGATTGTGTTTTTGTATGCTTCCATTCTCATCGGCCGTTAGTACTGTACCAAACAGCTTCACATCTCCATTCTTATCGAGCCTCTCAGTACCAGACAAACTAAACGAATGGCTCCTGCTATGACCAGATCTTCCATCTTTATGGGATACAGCCAGAGGCATAGCAGCTGAACTCGTACACTTGTTAAGTGAGAAACCTTCACCTGTACGTTGGGTTTTCACAATCAAATCAGATTTTGACCTACTTATCCTACTCGGATCTTGCGTGAATAATATCCTGGGAATTTGAGAAGCTTCTGTGTTAGTCACATTCAGTTGACCATTCTGCTCAGGGTTGACATGGCCTAAAACATGAAGCCTCCCATCCAAATCTAGATTGACCTTGGAATACTGCCAACCCAAGTTATTCGTTTTGACAAATTGTCCAACAAGAGAATTTGGTGACTCAGATTCTGTATGGCAATTGGGATTTCCTTGTGGTACACTGACGCCTACAGGGTCTTCTGTAGACACCACAATCGGAACATGGTGCAGACACTCAGGGTACTTGAAACCTGAAGATGCAGTTTCAGCCTCAAGGCCAGAATTTCTGGTTCTGTTTGCAGCTTGCATCACTCCATCCTGATTCTTTGAGCTATGTTTAGGCAATGCAGCACCTTGACTTCCTGAGCCCTTTCGTGAGCTTTCTCTGGGAGTTTCCACAACAACATTGGAAAGAACGCTTGAGCCACAATACAAGGGATCAGAAGATACAGCGACGGATGTTAAATTACCTTCATCTATTTCCATTGACAGTAGATCATCGCTCTTAATTTCCCCTGCAGCCTGACTCTGGCTCTCTACAGTATTAATGTCTACCAAATCTCTGCATGATTCCGAAACTAGACCCGGGCAACCCCCATTTTTATATGCATTGTTCACGAGATTAGTGCCATCTTTCAAACGCATATATGTCAGCCCATTCTCTTGTTCTGATCTACTAAGGCTGGCTTTCACATTTGCAGAGCCTGAATGAGTAGCTCCCTCCTGATTCATGTTAAAAGGTGAGGTAGGGGAATTCAAACCCATCTTGGTGCAAACTCCATTATTGCATATGCCAGAATTACTCTCCATAACACAAGGATCTTCCAAGTCGCTTCCACCACCTTCATTGCCATTATCAACACTTGCGGATGTGCTTACATTTCCAGATCCTGACTGTATAGATTCCAACCCAAGGCATTTCCGAACTTTGCTATAAAAAACCCGACACTGATCCTGCGACCTTGTCCTGACAAAGCTCGATATTGAAGCAAAATTCTTGCCAAATAGCGAGAACCCCTGTATAAAGGCAGATCTCTCATCATCTGTCCAATGAATAGGACCCGTTTCCCCACAACTCTCTTCCGAACATGAGTCATCTTCTTCATTGCTGTTCTCATTATGTGTAGTATGAGATATCCGAGGTTTTTTTACAACAGGATCAAACTTCAGATGATCCACACACCTCTCTTTAGAGTTCACGGACGTCCTTATGCAAGAGTTTATCTGCTCTGATGACAAAGGACCAACAGCTAAAACATCTGCACCAACAGTTCTTTTACGAGGGAAATCGAAACTGTAGGAGCACCCTTCAGAGTTATTTCCATCGTGCTGCAATGAATTAGAACTGCTGCAACCTCTAAGGGTGATTCTTTTGGAAGAGATCTGCCTGGTTGATGCAACCTTTCCTGCTTTTGCTGCTATAATGGATACTGCACCTAAAATATCAAGAGAGGCGGCCCCCATCTCACGTTTCCACTTTTTTCGTGGCGCCAACATGTAAGTATGCTTCCCTTCCTTACCATACGCACGCTGCTTCTTTATTTTCCCAAAAGAATCAGACTTGTGGTTTTTGTAGTAGTAATCAATACAGTCGGCAGTTGTCTTTTGGGTAAGATATGAAGCAATTTTCTTGAAATCCTTCCCGTGCAGTGCTAGCATATTCAAGAACGTTTCTTTCTCCTCTGAGGTCCAAGGATTAATCATTGTTCTTTCCTTCTCAACGTAACATGGATCTTCAATCAGTCCATTGCTAGAGATAAACCTCGACATCACCCTCTCTTTCTCATCCAAAATCATCGCAGGCATTCTCAAAATGTCCCTAAGAGGCTTTAGATGGGTACTCGGAAGTAGCTTCTCCATATAACTTACGAGCTCTGTTGTGGGGGCTACACTATCCCTTCTTGGAGCTGCACGTGTAGAAGAAAACAGTTTAAACTTAGAATTCGATGAATAAAAAATACTTCAATTAATCTACGATCATTATCCAAAACTTTTCTAAGGTAATCATCTCCTGCGTACTGAGATACCTTCTACTGGCTCGCTCAAGGCAACTAGAAAAAAATCAAGCATCATTTTGGACTACACCTAGTTATACAAGCTAGGTATTAAAATGAATATTACAGTGGAGACAATATTAGAATAAAACCCAAAATCTAACAAAAATTAACCTAGCACTACTAATATCCAACAAACTCGTTAACTTGGAATGACTTTGAACTTAGCTTGCAAATAAAGAATTATGTCTCACTATTTGATAGCTCTGGTGCCTAGAGAACATATTGCATCATGGATCAATTGACTGTATCAAAAGTTCTCAAGAGTTGAAATAAAAACCAAATTTTGTCCCAAACAATTAGAAAACATTAAAAGCTTAAAGTACCAAAGAGCAAAAAGCAGAGCGAAAAAGAGATATGAGAACTTTACCTGAAGAAGAGAACCTCAGGCGTACAGGTTGGGGAAGCCTAAGCTGCCCGCTATTTTTTGCATTCGGATATAGTTCTGCTTTTCGGTTAGACTTTGATTGGTACTTTTTTAAAGCTAGCTGATGCACATCTTTCTTCCATGAGAGCTGAAACGCTTTAAACTGAAGGAGCAAAATTTTATCCCTAGCTCTCAAGAGCTCCATCCTATCTGCAATTTTTTCTTTGACATGAGAATCAACCTGTCTTTGACCTATGCCAGGGAATCTTGAGTCATCAAACGTACTGAAATTTCTTGGAAGCAATTCATTAAATACTTCAGATGATTCACTGGCATATTTCTTATTGGAAGATAATAACTTAGCACAGAGCAAGTCATCACTGGAGGCCATGCTATCATCACCAGAAGAAAGCTCAATAGTTTCCTGATTGGCAAAAGCAGATGTGTTTATCTCTTTGGAAGAAGCAGATGCCTTCATAGATGTTATTGGCAACATATCCTCATTGCTTTCGACAGTGGCAAGAGATTGGGGCAGAGATTTAACTTCTACAGCACTATCTTCAAAAACATCAACAGGAGTCTTGGCTAAAACAGCCTGATGAACAGGATCTCCCACCAGTGTTTCAGCTACAGAGGAAGCTGCTGCCTTGGGACCGAAACTACAAGAAGCTTCCTGCTCCTTGGGCACATTTTCAGTTCCCTCACAAAGGTATGAACAGGGTACAACAACATGGCAGTGTCTTCCACCTTCAAGCTTTAGCGTCTTATGTTTGTTTTCAAGCAGATCAATTTCTGATTCTGTCATCTCCACAGCTTTCAAAATATCACCTTTCCAGGCAAGTAATCTGTTCATTGATGCCAATTGGACAGAACTGGAATCCCCCCTACCAAGATCATCAGTACCAACCAACTCACTGAGCAAACAGCCAAATCGCTCCATTGAGATGTTATCGAGCTCCTCTATATTGATTGGAAATCGTTCAACGTGAATACTAGACACGGGACTAGGTGAACGGCGCATATTACTGACATCACTAACAGCTTTAACAGCCTTCACAGATGATTTATCCACAAACCCTGCACATACCAAAAAAAATTAGATGGGAATGATACATTGTCCCCTGCAGAATATATAAAACAAATGGAAGACATGATAGAAAGAGGAAAAGGGAGATCAGTGTTCACAAAATCAGATACATGACAAAAGAGCTCAAGTAATAGGAAAATGATGCAGATAAAAATCCAAATAGCACGGGAATGAGAATAGCATGCAGAGAAATGTACTGCAAAATGTACCGTACCTGGTGATGAATTGCAAGCTACAGAGGATGGAGTTGTAGGGGAACCATAATCTGGAATAATAGCTGATGTAGGACTTTTATCAGCAATATTTTTGTTCAAAAAATGCAGTTCCTCTGTACCGTTTTCCATCAATGTCGTTCCATCTTCGCTTGTGTTAACATCAACTTTCTTTTTCTCGTATTTTGCCAGGCCCTCACCCCACCCAAGCCGTTGTTTTTTTCTAGAACTCATCTCGTCAGAAAGGTGAGTAGTTGTGGCACATGCAGTTGCATCTCCTGAAGAAGATTGAGTCACAGCAACAATTTTCGGAAGAACCTCATTCTTCCGCTCACTGGAATCAACAGCCCCCAAGCTCTTCAAGCTACTTGAGTGACTAAAACTTGAACTCTGAGATGCAAAACTCCCAGAACCAGTCCATACTGGAACTTTCCCAATTGCTCCAAGGGAATTCTCCTTCCCACTTTTCCTCGCACCGTCTACATCACTGACTCCATGGAACCCATTATCTTGCGGTTCTTTCAAGTGAAGCTGGTCCCAGGTCTCCTCTAGCTCGGCATTGAGGACTGGGGGATCTAATGAATTATCAGTAGCTAACCTTTGACCATACATCAAATCAGTGCATTGCTTTGCTGGAGAACAAGTCTTATTGCCATAATTGTTCTGCGAAGAAGGCCGTTCAAACAAGCCAACACAGTCAGAATGAGGATCTGAAGGATGTGATAGCCTTTGATCTGAAAACTTCTGCTCATTTTTAAATTTAAGCTTCCGTAATGGGGTACAGACCTCAACGTCCGGCTGATGAGTGGAGTTGGCTGGATCCCAAGAGTTCACCATAGTAGCATGAGTATCTGAAGCATGTGGTGGCCTTTCATCAACTGACCTCCGACCGTTTCTAATTCCACCACATGGCCTCTCAAAACCTCTAGAAGACCTGTTGTTCATCTCCCATGTATTGCATTTCCAGTCCTTCTGGTTAAAAGAGACTCTATCATCCCTGCAATTCCTGGTATATCTCCAGTCTCCACGTGATGGTGATGGTCTATAGTAGTCATTTTCAAACATCCGCGCACTGGTACGAGAAGATGTGTATCCATGGCTAGTCTCCTCAACAAACTGGTTCCGTCCACCCTGCTTACCATGACCTTCAGAAAATTTTGAAGACAAAGAGGAAGATTAACATTATAAACTATGCAAGACCTATATTCATCAAAGGTATAAACTCTTAAAACTACAAAGGTATCTCTCCACCAAATTTTGGACTTCTACTGCAGGAAAAACACGTTGTATCGTAACCATCATAGCCCACACAGTGATTTCAAATCTACCAGAAAAGGGATGGAATCACCAAAAAAAAAGACCTGGTTCATCCAAATTTATAAACATGTAAAACTAAAACTAACAACACTCCACGATTTTGGGGACTTCTACTGCTGGAAACAAGTCTTGTATGATAATGACTCATCAGGAAGAAAGCTAGGTTCTTTTTTTCTGTTTCAGATTCATGAGCACAAAAACACTGACTCAATTGAGATAACAAAGTCCTCTGGCTGTCAAAACCATATCTACCTGAGTATTAAATTCCAAAAAAATTTTCAAGGGCAATAATAACCTCATCAACTCACTTCCTATCAATCTTCAGAGTTGTGGTAATGCTCCCAAAAAAAACCCTAAAAGAAACCAATTTAAGAAGTAACAAAGAGATCCCTCTAAATCAACAGATTCAAAACAAGTATGTATCGAAGAAAGGGAGCCGGCGGATTCTAATCCCTAAATTAGCGAGAAAAGAGAGGGTTAGGTCTTACAAGAAGAAGGCCTGCGAAAGTCTCCAGATCCCCAACGTGAAAACTCGCGGGGAACATGGTGAGAAGAAGGAGCCGTAGGCGAATCTCTCCATCTAAAAGCCGAATCAAAAGATGGTTCAGGCCTCTCGTGTTTCCTTTGCCTCAAGAGCTCCTTCCGATCCCACGATGCGTGATCCTGCGGCATCAAGTTATCCAGAACAATCGCATAAAGAGTAACCTTGAACCCACTCCAGATTCCGTCCGTGAACCAAACGAGATAAAAAAACAAAAAGAAGAGAGCTTGAATGAATCAATGAGCCTCCATATCCTGAAACCAAATCCGAGAAAGATTGCCGCTTTTAGAACACTAGGGTTTCGTGAATCCGACCCAAAAAGGTGGAAACAGAATCAAAACGAAAGGAAACCTGAGGGAGCGTGCGCCGAGCTGTAATCACTACTGAGAAGAACGGAGATTCCACCGG